CCATGTTCATATTGACCTCTCTAATATATATATATATATATATTAAATATGTGTATATCAAGTCTAAGGATATAATGATACATTATTTGATCCTGGTATCTTTTTCTCTTCACTCTCCTCTCAATCCTTCCTGCCTTAGTTTGCAGTAACCAAATGATTGTCACTCAATATTTGCCTAAAAAAATCAAATGATGCTGTTGGTTTGTACAAATAACAGCCAACTGAAGGGCACTCACAGGATGTAGAAAAAAAATGTCAGAGCACATTTCTTCATTTTGGCCTCTATGCACTGGTTACCTGTGGCCTTTAGAAGTGATTTTAAGGCTTTATGGCTTGTTTAAAAGGCAGAGGCACGACTTGCCTCAGGCTGGTGAGAGGGGTTAGTGGGTCAATGGATGTCTCAAAAATCTCTAGAAAGAGCCCTCTGCTGGAAATCAGAAAAGAAACCCTGGCATGAATATATACAACTGCATACCTTGAGATCCTGTCAATAAATATCACAAACAGGATCAGAGACAATCGCACATACATATATTTACTTACCAAAACTTATCTGGGTTCTAGAAAATGTGTCAAACTAATTTCCTTTCTCATAAAATATTTGCGAGGCTGATTTCCAGGATTTGAATTTGCATTGTTTACATCTATGTCTTTCAGCCAGAAGTCTTCTTTTTCCCTGCCTTTGTTGGTATTGCTGCATTTCTCGTCACTTTACCACCACTTATAGCTCACAGGATCAGTGAGAAGCCATTAGCAGAAATGTTTATGACTCACTGTCCGCACATGCAAGGATAATGGAGACCCACTTTTTAAATACAACTGTATACAGCTATGAAGGGCCAACAACTTCACAGTGTACTTTTAAAGTTGACTACTGAATAATGTATCAAAGTGACAATGTAATACAAAACGCATTGCTCATAGCACCAAAACCACTGAGAACGAAAACCCCACTCTTTACTTTTGAGTCAAAAATTCCGTTTTGTTTATTTTTCCACATTTTTATTGTTTCATTAATTCTCAGCGCTCTCAACAAGCCCCACCTCAGACGCAATCAACAACTGTTTTTCAGCCGCTGGATACCAAAACAAAGAGAATGATTAGACTCATTCCACCAACACACATCTTCAGCTAAACGCTCATGTTGCCCTTTGTCTGCTGGATCTGTAAATAGGGAACCATTTGCCAACACATTTGTTGACCCAACTTTGTGAATTGACATTTTGTCAGTGTCCTTTCTACAGCTTGTTCTGCTGCCCTCAAGTGGTATTAAAGGTCTGTTAATGCAGCTTTAACCCTCTCCACCCTGGATGCCTCTGTTCCAGGACCGGGCCATATCTGCTGTTAAAATGCATATTTTCAAATTTGAGTAGTTGTCTAAAATAATTAGAATAGACTGAAAAACGTTAATGTTTACTGACTGTTTATAGTTGAAGAACTGTTGCTGACTGGATTTCTGGAATGTTTTTCAAGCAGAAATATATCTTAAAATCGAATCTAAATTAAAGCTGCAAGCAGAGATGGTCAGGTCCGGTACGACTGTCAGCTGTCGCACACGTCAGGGGGTGATGCAAACCGGGCGGGATCCTGATCCAGCGTATTAAGTTTCAGTCAGATCGAAGCACGTGCGGCCTCGTTATATGCCACTTCCTGTTAAATGGAGGGCCGAGTCAGGGTGCGTGTCCGGCCGTGGTTCTGGCTGGGACTCGAAGCATGCGTGCCAAGTTTTAGGCAGATGGGCGCACGTACAGGTCAGTTACACATCCTTCAGCGAAATTCTGTGGGCCACCATTTCCACGCCCTAAGACTTTTGCGGAGAGTTTTAATAGCTTTTAATCACAATGTCCTGTAGTTTGTGTTGGCAAAATTTCAGGTGTGTACGACATTCCCCCTAGGAGAAGATAGATTTAGAAAATGCCTGCAAATTAGTGAAAATGAGTCAATTTCAGCTGTAATGCTCGCAGTTCTTTCAAGATGGCGGATTTCCTGTTGAGTTTACAGAAAAGCTCTGGCGAGTTTTTTGTGCGTCCCGAGCCGGTACATATGCCTACTGACTTTTGTAGCTCCAGGTGAAAATTTGCCCCAATGGGACTCCCTTGAAATTTTTTAGGGGGCGCTGTGGAGCTATTTTGGCATTGACGTGTCCAAGTCCTTTGCCATATCCGAAACCCAACAGGAAGTCGACCATTTTGATTTGTTTGTGAGCTTGTTGTTTATTTTTCTTCATTTTCTAGGGTGAACTCCTCATAGAGGATAACTCCAAGACACCTAAAATTTAGCCTGTACATACAAAAGGCCCGAATGATGAAAAATTATCAGCCCTCTGAATTGTGATCATTTGCCATCAAAGTGTCTAACACCCCTGTACATTCTCCAATCTGCCTCAAACTTTATATACTTGATCACAGTCCTGCCCTGATGAAACCCATATGCCAATAGCTATTCACAGTCATAGCGCCACTTTCTGGCAACAGGAAAGAACATGTTTTACACTTGTATTTGCCATTACTAGCCGGTTGTATGTGATATTATGAGCCAGTTGACCGTATTAACCTCAAACGCGGTGATGTGAGCCTTAAGACGTTGACACGACATGTCTGTGGCCGCCCTCTGAGCTTTGATGCTTCGCCATTAAAGAGCAAGTGCTGTCTCCCTGCCCTCTACATGCTGCCTCAGACTTTACATGTTGGATCAGAGTCCTGCCCTGATGACATCCTCATGCCATTATCTATTTATAGCCATAGTGCCACCTGCTGGCAACGGGAAAAGACATTTTTTATACTTGTATTTGCCATTATTAGCCGGTTGACCATATTAACCTCAAATGTGGTTAGGGTTATGGTTAAGTGATGGTCCCAGAGTACATTTCTGCCACAACCTCGACATGCACCACACCTCGATGCGTGCCATGTCTGACACGCGTGAAAGTGTGAGGATCCGTTCAATGCTGTTTGCAGCTATAATTTAGATTAGATTTCAAGATATAGTTTTGAAAGAATTTTATTGTATCTCCCCTAAACACTGTGTATATTCTTTTAATGTCCCATCAATATTGCATTTGTGATTGCATAATGTGCATAAGTGTCTATATTCTTATTTTTAGCTCTGGACCCTGCACATGTGTATACAAAAATTCATTGCAAATATTTTACATTATCTGTACATAATTAGCTTGTTTCTGTAGTGTTTTTAGTTTTTCAAGTGCTGAATAGTGTGTTGATTGATTCTTCTTGTCCAAAACATTTCATTGCACTGTGTGTTAACCTGCATACGACAAATAAATAAATCTGAATCTGATATTAAAATTTCATCAGGTATTGCGATCTACTTCAAATAAAAGAATTTGCCATATGAAGATGATATAAAGTAATGAGTTTGTAAGAGAAATCCAGCAAGCCACTTTTGTAAATAAAGAATGTCAAATGAAAGCAAGACAAAGACAGAAATTAGCAGTAACTGTGTCCACACTAAAGTCACTCTCAATGCATTCACTTTTGAGGCAATCACAGTGATCCAGGACATCACAAAGTGGCACCGGACATTTATCTTCACAGTGTTGTCATTACTAGAAAAAGATCTATAGTGAAATGAAAGTGAGGATAAAATGACCTTCAGTCTGAATAACGATCAGAAGTGAGTCTCTGAGGGAAACAGCTAATAAAGGAAGGGAGTGCACAAGATCATTAACAGCCTTCAGCATGACAAACGGCATCACAAACCTAAAACCTCCATTATGTCCTCAGATCTCATAGTTAGCTGATGCAGAAGGAATCCCTGCAGGATGGCTTTAAAGTTCAAATAAGGATAAACTGGAATATTTTTTTTATCCTCAGCTGTCTGCAAGTTTTGAATTTTAAATTGACGTATGCACATACAAAAACACACAAAAAAAGTGAGAATTTATTTATGCTGTCTCTTTGCTGATGCCAAAGCGTGTCCAGTGCTAATGGATCATCAGGGACACCACTGGACGTTTTCCTATTGTTTATTTCATATTTATTTGAGGTACATGTGTATCATTTTACAATTGTTTGCTTATGATGAGAGCTGGGATATATTTCAGCGTAGTTTTCTTATTAAGGATGACACTAAAAGAAGGCAAAAAGCAAGTTTAGTAGACATGGCAAAAGGTTGAACATCCAAACTGCAGCTCCTATTGAGGTTAGAAAAGGAGCTGTGACCAGAAAATCTCTGAGGATCTGACATGGCTGGGGACACATTGATCCATCAGTGCATTATTGTATTATCCTCACTCAGTTCAGACTAACATGAGAAACATAATGGCAGCAGGTCAATATCTGGATAAAACATTTCACAGCCATACTTTTTGTCTTTGTGACATATTTCCAACTTTAACTAAATCATAAATGCGCACTCCGTTATTTGTGATATTCAGGAGACTTTAGTTATCCATCAGAATGTTGTAGTAGCTGGGCATCACAACCATTTAAAGGACCTCATTTTTAAACAAAGTGTTAAAAACTGCTTTTGATATTTAGTCTATGAGAATGTCCTCTTTACTTTATCACTTTCCAAACAGATGGATAAAAAGATGGAATTCAACTTTAAAACAAAATATAGCAGCACATTAACACAATTAAAAACTATCCTCATACAATTAGAAGTAATTTTTTTTTTTAAATTGGGGAGAAAAAAAAATCAATTACAAGTTCAAAGTTGTCATTGTTATAATTGTGTTGCTTATTTTTTATAAAATAGTAAACATCTGGTATAGGATCCTTTAACTAATCTCTCAGATCAAAATGAAGCTGGTCAATTTAGCTCCAATCATGAAGAGCACTTTGTTGGGACATGAGCGTGGTAATTTATCTTCTATAAAACTAGAAAATTATGGAAATACAGTGAAAGGTACACTGGGTTGTTCTGTACACACGCAGAGCTGCTAAAAGCTATGTATCCACAATAAATATCAGCCTTACAAAATAACCACACTAGAAATACCAAAGCTTCATTCTGCTGAGTGCTTCCAGCGGACTCACCGCTTCCCGAACCGCCAGCTGCAGGAACAGACCCAAGTGAAGTAACGTGTCCATCCACTTTAGCCTGAAGCTCCCACACATGAAGATACGGTGAAAAAACATTTGTACGGTTCTAAAAGTTCACGCGTAAAAGTAGCGATTCGTCCAGTGACAATCAAAGTCTTGGAGAAGAAGAAACTATTTCCCTGTTCAGTGTCCACAGCTGGCAACTATCCATGAACTGACCAGCTGTCTAGTGGCTTGCCGGTAGGAATGTCGTCAGGTATCTCTCCGGTGTCCGGTGAAGGTCCGCAGTACGCGCGGAGCAGAGCGGGGACCGACTGAGCCGAACAAGGTGCGCTCCGCCCTGAAAACACACAGCGGAGCGGAGCGGAGCTGCGCGCACACACGAGAGAGGACTGAAAGTGGAGACATCTGTCCCTGCATCAGTCACAGTGTGTGAATAGAAGGGGTAAGGACTCCGTGACTTTAACGCAGTCTAATTTAAATTCTCTGCGTAAAACTAACGTGCCTCTATACTGTTTAATTGTATCCTAATGCACGTCACCCTTAATGTTTTCACAAATATGTAAAATCTGAAAATCTTCTAGCAGTAAGCAGTGACAGACTGCACCACTGTGCCAACTGTTTTTTTGTTTGCTTGTTTTTTGTCAAATAAACAGTGAGTGATTCTGCAACTCAACCTTATTCATGACCAAAACATATAGTGGTGCATGTTAAGCTAACTGAGCAGTCTTCTTTAGATTGTTAGACAGTATTCACTGTGTTTCTGTTTTCTTTTGTGCAGTCACTGCAATCCTTTGTTAAGGGCAACATATTACACACAAACTCTGTCTCTTCAAAATGTAAGTCCTGTACACCTAAAGTGCATATTCAGTTGAAAGAAGTTTGTCATCTTACTGAAAGGTATGATGTAGTAGAAAAGAACTGCACTTTAAAGGGGACTCAAAGGTCAGAGGGCAGGCTGAGGGCTTCAGTCCGCAATAGGGCGTTCATCGAGGAGAGTTTGGTGTACATTCCATGTGGGACCATTACGTCGGGGCTATACTTTCTACATCCCCAAGTACACAAGGGTCTGCTAGAGTCCACATAAATTCTCTCATCTCCCTAAATCCAGTGCAGCCCCAATTTGGTGTTCATGTGGCAACTTTGCGACTAGGGCAGTAGTGTGCATGCTCAGCAGTGGTGTGTATGCATGAAATACATAGATATGAACTGGACACATGGAACAGAGCTCTCCAAGCGGACTTTAACAGACTAGAAAATAAGTATAACAACAACAACAACAGCTCTGTAGGTCTAAGGGTTTCCACAGCTGGATCATAATCAAGGCATCAAGGCTTTGGGCAAGCAGACATTCTCAGCCTTAAAGCGAATTAAAACTTATGCCAGAAACACAACTGGACAGACCCGACTTTCAGCATTAGCCTCCATTGCGATAAAACAGGACTAATGTTGGAAGTGAAACATGGATTAGCTGCTCAACAGAGTGATTGAACTGTTTATGATGAAAGAAAGGAGGATGGAGTTTGTGTTCAAATCATCACGTTATGGCGAGTAAAATATATATTATTGTCATTTTACTGAGTTGATATTGATGCTCCTGTTAGATGTGATGTATGTGGTGCAGCTGTGGCTGCAGCGAAAGGAGACTTGTTGAATTGTTTTCAGTGGGTTTCTTGCTTTAGTAATGGCATTCATTCTCGCTACATGAGATACCTATCTGCGATGCAACGTCCTGCTGTACTGCCTTTCTGCATGATACTGATGGTTTCTATAGCCATGGCGTCATAATGACGATGTTAGGAGATGGTTTGATTCAGGCAGGCTGCCACTGAAGGCCTAGGAGTAAAATGCACGGCCCGCCACTGAAATATAGGGATATAATTAGTAGCAGATTGGGCTTCAAACAAAGATGATGGCATGTGTTTTTCACTATATACTAAAGCTGAAAGTGCAGGAGTGAATTATGACAGACTTTATAATGCCTGCAGTGTCAGTGTGTGTTGTGGTCCAGGCACAGTAGGCTTGCCTTTGCAGGAATGTTTTGCTGCTCAGGACACTTTACATAAACAGAATAAACTTTAACAGTGCAGGCTGACAGCAGCCCCACAAGACAGCAGTGTGTGTGTGTGCATGCGTGTGTGCTGGAGGCACCTTGCACCTTGCATAGGTCAATTGATGACAGACGGTGCTTTTGGCTTTTCCACAGACCACCAACAATGAACTTTCTGCAGACAGCAACACCTGTGAGCAGAGGAGGAATTAGGCTCCTCATATCAGCATTACATTTGTGCTTCATGAGTATGGTATAGTAAAAACTAAAAGGATGAACATACTAGTGCAGCCGCAATTGGTCAGTAGATATGTGCATATGTTTTCACCATTGTGAGGAAAAAACACATCAAATGTCCAGAAGCCAAAAGATAAATCATCATCCCTCCATCTATTATCTATACACCGCTTAATCCTCACTAGGGTCGTAGGGGGCTGGAGCCATCCCAGCTGACTCAGGGCAAACACCCTGGACAGGTCACCAGTCTGTCACAGGTCTACACATAGCATCAAACAAGCACACTCACATTCACACCTATGGACAATTTAGAATCATCAGTTAACCTCAGCATTCTTCCCGTGCAG